TTTCATGTCAAAGCCTCATGCCAAACTGTGGTGAGGCCAAGCCAGAGTAATTTTGGGGACCAACTGGTGAATCTTGTGGGCAGGAATAGTTCTCACACACCCATCAGCATCTCCCAGTCATGCTGGGATGGGATGAGACCTGCTGCTTCTCTTGGCTAGAAAACCCTTTGGACCTGTGTGGGGAGCATCCAGTGAGGCTCCCCAGCTTGGCTGGGAGCAGGGAAGCTGGAGCAGCTCCAGCAATCCCTGCTTTAGCTCAGTTACCTTGGCAAGGTGGAGTGCCCCATGGTTTGGGGGGATTTTTGGCTGTGGATGCTGTGGGCTGGACACGAGTGGGAGCCTGGCAATGCCTGGGGGGGCTGTGGTGGGAGGGGTTAGCTGGGGAGGACCTTTGGGAGCAGAAGATGCAGCAAGGGACAGCAATGGCCCCAGCAGAGATGCTGCCAAGCCCTGGTGGAGTTAGGATCTCCTGCCAGCTTGGACCTGGAGGGTTCTGGGTGGGAGGGTTGGTGCCATGGCCATGGGACACTGAGGAAGAGGAGGTGGAGGCAGTGACCATTGCTCCAGGCTGGAATCTTAACCTCTCACCCTTGCTCTTGGTGCAGCATCACCAGGAAAAGCCACTCTTGGCACATCCCTTGCCCTGTGCCCACCCCTGGCCAGGCCATGAAGACAGAGAAGGATGAGGCTGTGCCCACCTTCTCCCTGCGGGGTAAATACAGCGCAGAGGGGGCAGGTGAGTCCCCTGTGCCATGCTGGGGGGTGGTGAGAGGATTCAGGGCAGGACCAGGGGGAGATCCCTTTGGTCCTGTTGCTGTGAGATCCCTTTGGGCAAATCCCACCCCAGAGGTGGCAGGGAGCACCATGTGGGTGTACACAGGTGTATATGGGTGTGCAAGTGGCATCACTTGGCATGTTCCAGACACCATCAGGCAATTCATTCACACCAGCAGCTCTTCCTAGAGCAAAGCCCCTCCTGTCTATAACACCCTGGAAGTCTCTTTCCTCTCCAGTCCTCTCCAACCAGATCCTCCCAGACCCGCCCTAGTTACCACCCCCACCCTGTTTTAAAGGGAGGGAGGAGGGTGGAGGATGGCAGAGGGAGGTGGTGAAATGGTCTGAGCTTTGCCCCTGGCTCACAGTCTGTCCCCACAGGCTGCAGTGAAGTGGCTCTGCCCAGCACCCTGATGCCAGTGGTGGGGAGTGGAGGGACCCCAGCCCACGGAGGGACCCCAGCCCAGGACCTGAGACCCCTGAAGCGCAGACCTGTCCCAGGTGAGCCAAACCCCAGCCCTGCCCTGGGGAGGTGACAGCAACAACCAGGGCAGGGATGAAGCCAACAGATGTGTCTCCTTACAGGGAAGCACTACCAGTGCTCGAGCTATGGCTGCAAAATGGCCTTCCCCAGCATGCAGGAGCTGATGGACCACCTGAAGGTGCACTACAGACCCACACAGTCCCTTGAGGGTAAGGCCAGGACACCCCACGTGCCCTTTTTTTGTCTGGGAAGGGGCAGAGTGGGGCTCGAAGCTGAGGCAGTGCTGGCAGTGGTGTTGGTACCTCCAGGAAATGGGAGTGGGGGGAGTGGAGGAGGTGCTGGAGACTCACCTGTGGGGCTGTCTCCAGCTGGGCTGTTGCTGAATCTCTGTCTCTGAATTTCTTTGCTCAGGCAAAACCTTCCAGTGCCCCACTCTGGGCTGCACCGAGACCTTCCCCAGCATGCAGGACCTCATGGTCCACATGAAGGTGCATTACAAGCCAAACCGCTACTTCAAGTGAGTCCTGCTGGTCCCTGTCCCCATCCCATCTCCTCCCTGGGGTCACCTGGCTGCTCCCAGACAGCCCCCAGCCCAGGGGCTCTCAGTGCCACAGCCCCAAGCCCAGGGGCAGGCTCCAGGGTTGGGATGGGGGTGATGTGGAAGGGATCATCACCATCATCACTGACACACCTCTGCGGCCTCGCAGGTGTGAGAACTGCCTGCTGCGCTTCCGGACGCATCGCTCCCTCTTCAAACACCTGCACGTCTGCTCCGACAGCGCCAGCAGCCCCGCGCC